TGGCAGGTATTCGCTTTGCTTCTGAGGCCAAACAAGGATCATAAATACAGATTGTATTGGAACATTTACCACCATTTGATTGGGTACAGTGTAATCATCCTTAGCATCGTCAACATCTTCGAGGGTTTCGACATCCTTAACCCCGATGACAAATGGGAGAGAATTTACATTGGGATTCTCATATTTTTGGTGTTTTGGCCACGTTATTGGAAGCTTTCACTTGGTACGTTGTTATCAGGAGGAAGAAGACGAATAAGCACCCTCACACCATGAATGGTGCCACTGCCATGGGACAGCGCGTCTAATAATTTTTTTTTGTTCAGTCTTATTAGTCTATTACACCATGTGCTTAGGATTTTTAGATGACCCACATTTGTTATTGCAGCTTATTGGTTTCTGTATGTATAGACTATAGACGATGAACTCTTATACCATCACTATTTTTTATTTAATTTCATATAATAAGGTAGAATATTGGTATATATATATACGTTGGGCTGCTAGGAAAGTTGAAGTATGACCAATTCCCATGAAAAAAAAACATGACTAATTCCATTGGTACATTAAAATAAATGTTGTAGGTGAAGTCTAATAAGATGTCATGAATTGCATTTTGTCAAGTGTATGACAATCAATCACTATCCAACTTCCTTCTTTCTTTATTAGTCAAAGGGATGGGTGGCTAAACCAAAACCAAAGCTAATGAGACAATATACAAACAACATATATTAATATTTTATAATTTGTTAAGTATGAATGAAGATTAGTTGAATAGTATTAAATTTAAGAGACGTTTGATTCATAAAATATAATATTTTATAAATAAAATTAATGTTATATAAGATTATTAAAAATACCACCTTCCATTGTTAGTTTTATTTGAGGTAAGTTTGCTCATGTAATAATATTTTCAACTCTATTTAAATAAAAATTGAACCATTCAAATTATTTGTTATCTGAGGTAAGTTTGCTCATGTAATAAATATCGATTTAATGTTTTTCAGTATGCAGATTAAATAATTATTTTTCTTTTTAGTTTACTTATTCAACCAACTTTGATATTATGCCATATTTCATATATATAGAATGTATCATATCACCAAATTCAATTAAATTAGTGGTAATTTGAGTAGGTTTAAAAATAATTGAAGTCTTTATGCAAATCGTTTTAAAAGATCAGAGTTTATTTGAGCATCAGTCATTGTTTCCCTCTCCCTACTATAAATGAAGAATGGGGTTCTGCCGTTTTAGGTCTGCCGAATTAGAAAGGAACAACGCGTTAGTTGCAGGCTGGCAGCCCGAGTTCTAAAGTTATCTTCGAGCTTGACAGATATCGCTTCGATTTCAAGGTGTCATCGAATATACTTTAAAAAACTCAAGCCGTAAGGAGTTTGAGCTTGACCCAAGTTTGATAAAATTTGAGCATTGAGATACTTGAAAAAACTCAACGGCTCCTAGTTACGATCTCAAAATGATTTTCATTGCATATGTTCATTAAAACATATTGATATGCTAGATTGACTTACCCCACAGACCACTAGTTCCTGTCTTTCTCTTTGATTTTCTAATCCCAAACAATGACAATCTACGAAAGATCTTAATAAGCCTGCTAGCATATTTTCTTTGCGAAGCAAAATTTACAGAACCTATGCAACCCGTTAAATCTCCCGAAGCCTTCTTTCTCTTGCTACCTGGTCTTCTTTCTAAGCCATACGGTTTCATACACTCTGATTTGCTCGGATTCGAATCTGTTTTCTTTGACACTTCATGCCATTCAAGAGTCTTCTTCAGTTCCATGAGCTCTTGTTCAAGGTTCTGAAGTCTAAAGCTCGTTGATTCGTAGTTTCTCTCTATTGTTGGAAGGTCATCTGGTAGGAACAAGCTCAATGGTTTGCTGTTCGTCGTCTCTACTGCGTCCTTGTATGGACTTTCTTCCAGGTTTCTTGAGTTTGGACATCTTGAGCTCGCAGGCTCCCGGAGAACTGACTGGTGAACCTAAACGAGTCCGAGCATTCTTTAAATGCTTGGTGGGTGTTCAGTTGTTGAACGAAAAGAGCTTGGACAATCAAACGCAGTGGCATCAACTCATTTTGAACCGCTTCAATGCATGCCTCTTGTGAAAGTTTTTGGCAGTTCAGATATTTGCAGACTGATCCCTTCTCTTCTTGTGTTATATCTCTATGTGCCTAACCAAAAGGTGGAAGACGGGTTTAAACATGACGTAAATACACGAATGTTTGAGGATGGTGATAATTTATCGAAAACTTACCTGTAGGAAGCTTTTCATTGCTCTATAAAGTCGGTCATGCGTCTGACGGTAAGATATCGGTAATAACTCGACGAGTTCTATGAACTTCTTAGGCTCCATTTGTGGATCAGAAGCCACATGGGAAAGGAATGTGTCCCATAATTCTGAAACAATGAAGTTGCTTGCTGAAGGGGAAGGGTCAAAAGCTGAGAAAATGTTCTTCATAATGGCCAATTCCCTGCTTGATGAAATGGACTCTGTTCCAATCTGTGGAAAAAGATCTTCCACTTGGGCAAAGTGTAACATAGTTGCAATCTGGTCTTGCAATTTCTCGTGTCTGTCACTTGTTAAACCAAATTCTAAGGATCTAGAGAGCATTGCAAAGTAAAATCCAACAAGAATGGCCCTACTGGCCTTTTCCCCAATGGGCTGTAAATCAAGAATCCCTTGTAAAATGGCAGAAACATTGTTGTCTGAGTCACTGTCTTCAGTTTTCTCACCTGAGTTTTCCCAGAATTGGTGTGCCTTCTTGGAGAGTACCCATTTATTTGCGTAGAAAACAATGATGGGTGTTACGTATTTTTCTTTCATTCCTTGCCTTCTTAAGGAACCAATAATCCTTTTGAAGAATCCAAATGGTAGAGCTATCAGATCCTTGATCCATAAGTCCTTGCTTGCTATTGCTTTCACCGTTTCGCTGCTCCAAGCCTCGCCGGCCAATGCTTCCAATGTAACAACCGGTTTGTCCCTTCTCCTCTCCGGATCGAGAATCTCCATGCAGGCCATAAAGGCCAAGGACTCGATGCACCGCCTCACGATCAGCAGCTCCTCGGACCATGGGAGCAACATTTGGCATTTCTAGAGAACAGTTAGTGTGTCATCCCAACTCTGCAACACCACTTGGTTTAAATAGAGATCAAATCACTGGCAGAGGTTGCCGATGCAGTACTCTTCCGTCATTTCGAGAAACTCGGCTGCACACCTCAGGGCTGCCATATTGAAAGGGTCAACCAAAGTGGTGGAGCCATAGATGAACAATGTTATCATCTCGAATGTTTCGGGCCCTCCAGGGAAATCTTGTGGCAACTCGAGCTCATTCGATTCGGTTAACCTCTTCTGAAAGTATCCACTCTTTGAAAACAATGGATGCTGGCAGAATACATAGAAAACATCAAAAAAATTTCACAGAAACTAATTGAATTCGATTACATCTATTTGTATTTTGGCCATACCTTATGAAGGCTGAAGGTTCTTTCGCCTACTCGAACACGAATCGAAACAGGAAGTCCAGTTTCTTGGCACCTGAAATAATCAAAAACTAAAATCAGAAGCCTTCTTCGACTGAAATGCAAAGGTATGATGAAAAACATAGAATTAGAAAGCCATTTATGTTTCCACCATGAAATAATCTTAATCTTCAGAAGTGCACTGACATTGGGTGAGGAGAAAGGACTCGAAGTTACTGAACTATCTTTCGAACTTGAAACCTCCATTGGCAATTAATTGTTCATCAAGAAACAAAAGAAACTGAGAAAATAAAAAACTTTGCAAAACCAAGTTAAATATCGCTGCAAATACAACAAACATGCACTGCACTTCTCATTGCCATTTATCTCCTTCAACCGGCACTAATAAATTATTGAGATCCTTCTCAAGAATCGAAGTAAAAAGGGACTACTACTATATCAAAGTTTTTAGAATCCATAAAAACACTGGAAAATGGAAAGCATGTGAGCAAAAGAAGAGTCGGTTTTATCAAGTTGTATATTTTAATATTACCTGATATAAACCAATTGAAATAACCCAGATTTTAAAGTACGTTTTTGGGTTACGATAATAATGAAACAATGAAAATGAGATGATGCACACGAGTGCAGCTCAAAAAATCCAAATCTTAAGGCATCAAAAAGGTTCCTCGAGGGGTGAGAAGGTTGAATTCGGATAGCTCCGCCAATAGAAAAAGGTGCAGTTTTTCTAGTTCCTTGCCTTGTCATATAAGCCTCCCATTAAAAAAAGAGGGTGGGGGAGATGAAGTGCGGATGAAGTTATGAGAGCTTTGATAGCGTATGCCAACAACGAAGACGGCACGGCTTCTATAAAAGGGGGTGCTTTAAATTGTGATTTCAAACGTTTTTGCTCGCTTTCTCCCAGCACATCTCAATCCCCAAAATTTTGTTTTATTTTTCCATGACATAATTAATACCTTATTTGCATTTTATCGGTAACACTGAACGACTGAATTAGTATTTAATGTTTTACATTTTGGGGTAAAACAATTTTTAATCCCTAAATAACTTTTCACAATTTGATCCTTGAATTTTTTTATGTTAATCTCAACATAAATGTTTGATAATTAATGATATGATACTATTAGATTATGATATATATCACTGTAATTAAGAAGACGAAAAATAAGAACAAATATTAATGCAAGTTCTAATATTGACAAGAAAATCATGAATCAGTGTGGGAAAAGTTACCACAATTATCTGAAAATGTGGACTGAAGTTACACACTACATAAAGGCCTAATTAAATAATAGATATCCAAAATATATAATCTTTTTATCTAAATTAATTTTCATCTAAATATCTATAATATATTTTTTGTTTAAAATAGATACATAAAATACATAATTTTTTTGTTTAAACTCCTTTAAGTCGATGTCTAAACGAAAAAAAATAGTATACTTTTAAGTACCTATTTTGACAAGAAAAAAAGTATTTTAAGTACCTAAATAAGAAAAATAGTATACTTCGAATACTTATGATATAAGCCTTGCAAAAAACATAGTTGAAAATGCATTGTCAATCTCACATCAGGTATATAGAACACGTAAAATATAGTTGCAAGCGCAAACCTTAAACTAACTTAGGGATTGTAATATATTCTAATTGGCATTCGTTCTAAAGCCGCCACGCTCGTTTGGCTGAGAGTCTGTTTTAGAGGGGATGATATTGCACCCATGGAGTAGATCCCGGATTTTGGAATACACAAGTGAAGGGTCGCCTCCACTGCTCTGTGATGCTCGTGAAGACTCCAGCAGCTTTATCTTTTCAAACAAATATTGTGTCTCCGCCTCTGCCTCACTCAAGCGAAGTTTTAAGTAACTGCTGGCATACTCTTCCTCTGATTTATCCGACTTTGCAAGAGCAATTCTTTGAAGCCTCTCAGCCTCTCGCTTTGCCTCATTTGCCTTAAGCTGGAACATATCAGCCTCTGCCTGTTTAAGCCTTACAATCCTCTCCAGCTCTTCTACTTGCAGCTTCTTTTTTTGTCTCTCCAGCTTCATTTCTGCCACTTCCTTGGCCTTGTCCTCAAGCTCCCGATCGCAAGCATCAAGAGCCAATCGAGCTTTCTTGAACATCCTCATCTTCTCATCGCCCACCATTTCCATCTTCCTTATCGCCTCCTGCACTACATCAGCAATTCGATTGATAGTCTCATCTGGTGATATCAACCGTCCACCTTCCCCGTTTTCCAGACTTGTTGGAGAATCCATATCAAGCTCTATACAAAAGGAATAACAATAATTTGAATTCAAGCAAATTAAAGTTATTTATTCAGAGAACAAAAATGTTTTAGAGATGAAATGTCGGGAATAGCTGAACTCGTGATCTTTCTTTAATATAAAACCTATCAAGGACCCTAGTTAATTCCTAAAAAAAAAAATATTAAGGTCCCAAACAAAATGCACTAGCCAAAATTGGGGTTGTAATCAAAGCAGGAAGGAAAGTATAATGCATGACATGATCACCTGTTGGAAAGCAAGACCATCAGAAAGTTGATGGATAAATTGAAAGAAGAATGCATGCATAACTGAGCAATATTTTTCACCTCACATTTTTGACTGGACAACAAAAAATAATCACATGATCTTTTGAAAGGGCAATTAAATAATTAGCACACACTATACCTTGGAAAAATATTAATATCGATTTGCAAGCTGCTGCAGATTCAGCTTGTCCACTCCTCATTTTTTCCAAAAGATCCTCACACTTCCAAAAGAGTTTCTTCCCTCTGGGGTCATCACTTCCACGAAATATCCTACAAACAAAATCAAGTTCTCTCATAAGAGCCTCCCTATCCCAGGTTGGAGCACAATGCTGGAAGACGTCTTTAACCCAACCTAACAACTCAGATGTTCGATTGCAAGCTTGGCAGCGAAAAACCATTTCAGTAGGACCTGATCCACTTTTAACAGAAGGGCCCATGCAGATTTGCCCATCACGAATAGCACAGTCAGTATGAGTCCAATGGGAACATAAATCACAACCAATCCAGCGGCAGGTATTTACTTCAAAATCAAACTTGTTGCAGATGACACACATACAAAGATTGCAAAAGCCATTCCTCTTGGCACATAATTCACAGGTGCAGTCATCGGCAGGTAGCTGGTTTTGACACGCAATGTTTCTGCATCTTTTGTACACAAAAACCTCAATGAGAGAAGTTTGGGATAGACTGATGTTTGGATGCAGAAATGCCTGAATTCCTGTATTTATTGCAACAAGGATTTCAAGCTGTGCTCGGTGTGCTCTAATCAATGTCTTCACCGTTAAATCAGATCTACTTTGAACAAACTTCTGCAGCATCAAAAACTCTTCCCTGTTTTGTGAACCTCCATTGCCTTCCAGAATAGACTTCAGTTGATTCTTTAGTTCATCTAAAAACTCATCAGGTAGGTGATGCATCTTTTCAGAGATAACATCAACTCTTTCTCTAGAAATATCTCGAAGAGTTATCTTATCAGCACTAGAAACACAACGGATAACAGATTGCTCAGGGCAGTCATTTTCAGTTTTCCCCATTTCCATCTTCTTTGCTGTGACAGCATCAGCAGTAGGCCAAGTCTCTTCTGAGCTAGCACTCTCAGTAGGGGACTCATGAACTTTATGTGAGTTTGATCTGGGTTCTTGGGTATCAGGTAACAAGTGAGGATCAGAGGAGGCTAAGGACAATGAAGTTTGTAAGCACCCTGGTCTAGGTTGTTGCCGTGGGGGTAACATTTTTTATGAACGCTGGTGGTTAATATTAGAACCAGATGGTGTTCCCATCAACAAATCCTGATTACTCTGAAATTAAAAGCAACTGAAATAGTCATGATCTAGCAAAACTTAGAATACATAATAGCATAAATTTAAGCTTTATCTATTTAAAAATGTCTTGATTTCTACTTTTTTTCGATTTGCTTTAAAGAAGCAAAAAGTAAGAAACAAATCATCATTGTTGAAAGTGAAAGATCTGCTTCACAATTTAACAAGTGATACTCTCCCCATGTAATTTTTCCATATAAAACTAAGAACATGAATTTCATAACAAATTATATTTAAAAGAGTCCATATTATAGATAACCATAACTTTAGTCCCAATCCTTAGAAGCCACAAAAAGACAAATTTTGGGAAGGTTTTTACTTCGGGATCCCAATACAGTTACCCAAAATGTTTGATCCAAATCCAAATACAAATGAATATCAACAGCTAAGAACTCGAAACTTTTCAAAACCGCCTTAATTTCGTTCATTTCAAACAATAATTATTCCGATCTCGTAAAGTAGCCTATATGGCAAACATTGGTCAGAAAGCAGAACTCTAATCTGAGTCAAAACTCAGCAGAAAATCCCAACTCAAAATCCAGCCGACTGAGAAACCGTCTCTAAAGCGAGAATCCTAAGACCAGAAACTAACACATCTCACTAATCGAACAAGGTCCAAACCTAAATTATGAAATAAAACCCTAAAATTAATGTACTGTAAGTAACGGGAATGTATATACCTTCAATGGAAATTGAACCGGCAGAAACCGGAGAAGGAGCAATTGAGCAATGACCAGATTCAGAGAGCCGTTCGAGAAATGGGGACTTTTTGTTTCTTTAAATATAGTCTCTTTTTATCCAAAGGCTCACGTTGTTTCCGGGATCTGCAACTGATGTGGTTACGGGATAAAGATGTAATTTTAAGGTTTAATATAGAGATAATGTCTAAATTATACCACTTTTTTTTATAAAAGTATCTAACTTTCTTTTTTTATTTATGTTTCTAATGTTACAATCGTTACTACTTTAAGTGTTAGGTCCGAAAAAGACGTTAACTTTTATCATTAGCTGACACATGTCGTGTTCAAGTAATTTTTAAAAAAATTAAAAAATATACTTTAAAAAAATCTAAAATTTTTTATAATCTTAAACTTAATCCCTATATTCACGTCGACCGTCAGCCTTTACCGTCATCTTTGCCGTCGACTAAACCTACCCCAATCGTGCCTCCACTTGATAACCACTCATGCAACAAACAGCCACCAATAAACTCTAATCGCTATTTATATCCAACAACCGAAATGAAAAAATCACATCTGCACGACTTCACGAGACTCAACGACATGACCAATAAATCCCAATCGCTATTTATATCGATAAACAGAATGGAAAAATCACAACATATGCTCGACTCCACGAACCCAACAACATAAGCAATGACAAAGACAATATTGACCGAAAAAGAAGGCAGCTGTTATGACTAAAGTACCTAAAATAATAACATTTATAACGTTAGTTATATGAAGTTATCGGGAAAAAAATTTTAACACTACTTAAAAATGTATATATATAATCTAGACACTTATTTTTTATACTAAATCTAATTTTAACGAATTCTGGATGCCTAGCGAAAAGAAGGTAAACTACAGCCATTATCACCCGACTATAGTGACCGGACTGTAAAATTTTATATTTTATTAATTTGGTAACAGTTATAATTTTCTTTTACCGAAATGATGTCGTTTACACACTTTCATAAATCTCTTAATTTTCCTTTTTTAAAAATATATTTTCTCAAATTTTTTTAAAGATCTGTCTCACTGTCAATTATTGATTGTTAGCGAATACGTAAATTACGAATGAAAGATTGGTTGACAGAGACAACAAAACAATACATTTTTTTGTTACTGCAGCAATAGAATGAAATTAGAAAGCAGTACACACTTGACGATATCATCTGAAAAATAAGTGAGTTTGTTTCTGATTTTTCTAAACATATAAGAACAAAAATTGGCATCTCGTTTGATCGGAATGCCATCGATCATCCGACATATCTGCATATACGTCAAATGTATCCGACCATAGCATGTATGCTCCTCAGCTAACTAATGCTATCAGGGTCCATTTTAGAACCAGACGAGCAGTAAATACCTTTCCTCCAAAAAATTTCTTTCAACAAAGTTACGGCCAATTGAAGTACACTCCGTTCATCTCTTGTGGCTAACAGAGCATAAATATCGAAGCATGTATTCATTTGAAGCACATGTATCGGCCAAATCCTGATGAATTCTGGTGATTGCCTTCTGTAATGATTTCAAAACAGGTTGAAGGTTTCTGGAATTCTGCTGAATAGAGTTACCATGAAGTTTGCAGAGCTCCTGTGGTAGAACAACCAGAACCAGGTCAACAGCAAAACAAAAACAATCATATTATCCAAAAAACAACTGAAGCCTACCTGACACCATCGAAGTACAAACTCTAAGTGTGGGCACCTTTCAAGAAGGTCCGTTAATGCCTCTATTAATCTTTGCAAGTATCTGTAAGGGATTGATGAAACAACAGCTGGAACATCTACAGGACTGACGGAGAAAATACACCTTTTAATTAGTGTATCTTCGTTTAAGCGCAAGCTAAGAGTTAAAGCTCGACTTGGCTGATCTTCATCAAGTGCTGCATCTATGGCCTACAAAACGATGAAAATTAATTGATATTGGTAAATTTTGTACAACTCAAAGATCTAGATTAGGAAAGTACCTCAGGTGTAACATCGATGTCAAGATCCGTGGGATCGAAGATAAATGAGTCATCAATTGAAAAAACAAGAACACCTTCTGTTGTTGCTGCTGAAAAACTTCGTCCTGTTGGTGCAATTGTAAGGGATTTCGTTTGGATGACAGACCTACCATTATTAGGCATGGATCCAGGAAGATTATATCCCATATTTCCTCGGGTTTGTTTGTCAATACCTTCTTCTGTATCACTGTTATCATCATCAATTAAATTCAATGGACCAGCTTCTGACATGTTTTTTGAGTTCAAGAAGTCGAGAACTCCATCCAAAGAGAGGTTGTGAGTTATTTGAAATCGTCGAAGTAGAACCTGGTTTCAGATGGAAAAGATGAGGGTAAAGCATATTACAAGTCTTGAACAAGAGAAGAAAGAAGTTTGTAAAACAGGAACATGGTACAAGTAGGATGTAATCAAGCCAAACAAGCTTGTTGTAAGAAGCTAAAGCCTTATTGAATTTCACTTTTAAACCTAAGGCTTGATTTGAGATAAATAGTTTATTCAGGCTCACTTGATTAAGCTCATTTACTTGGTAAAAACTAAATCATTAGGATACTAAAGCTTTATTTATGCTTAAAGCTTGGGTTCAAACTGAAAAATATATCTTGGATTAAAAAGCTCAATTAAGCTAGGAAACAACTCAAGTCAAGCATTAGGATATTAAATCTACGGTTTCATTTAAAACCAGATTGTCATGCAAATTCATCCTACTAGTCCCGAATAAGCAATGGATGAAAAAAATAAGAGGGGCATCTCATGTTCACTTTCTTTTTTTCAGGGGTTTGATGGAAGGAGAGTAACAAAGGCCAGAGGGCATCTTATGGCTGTATATTATGGTTTAGATTTCAAATTAAAGTACATCACTTACTATCTATCCAGAGAACTAAGATGTACTTATAAACTTTTACCTGATCTGCAACATCATACATACAGATGTATCTGCTATTTCCCCCAGCTAAGATGTAACTCCCATCAGCAGAGTAACATAAGGTCGTGAAGCACTTTCCTGAACTTGAGTTAGCAGCGGATCGTCTATCAGTCATGAGTCGTCCTCCAGCTATATCCCTACGGCCTTCAATGGAGCACATTAACGTCCCATCAATAGGGTCCCAAAAGTGAATCTGTCCGTCTAATGTGCTGCAAACCAGTTGTTTTCCATCTGGTCGGTAAGTAGTGGTCAGAACATCATGTGTGTGATGAAATGTTTCAACAGCACCTTTTCCTTCAAATACATCCCATAACCGAACAGTTTTGTCCCATGATGATGAAGCTAATATTGCCTAAAAATATACAAATCAAATCAATAGATATGACTCAACTCAAAGATCAGAGATGCACAACATACATTAAGCCAGATGAAGGTAGATGAAGAATAGTTGATAGGAAATATTAGAAGGCAACATTGAATAAAGAATAGAACCGATGAAAACTGAAGATAAATGGAAACTTAAACAAACCGAACACACAGAAAACAGGTGAAGATAAGTTAGCTCACATTTGTCGGAGAAAACATCAACCCATGAACTGGACCTTCATGACCACTAAGAACATCCAATAAACGAGCCGTCTTCATTGACCAAACGAAAATCTGTAACAGATGACAATGAAAAAAAATCATGAAATGCGATCAATATGGAAATGTTTAAATCAAAGAGCATTAGCCAACTTACCTCAAACGAATCTAGAGTTCCAGCACAAATCACTTCTCCACTTTGATCAGCTGCCAAAGAAACAAACTGCCTAGAAGAAGGTGTAGTAAATGTTCTAAAATTTCGATAGCGCAGCAGGTCCCATGCACGAACAGTCCCATCCAAAGATGCACTTAAGAGGCAATGGTTATTAGCCATAAAATGGAGTGCAGTAACCGCATTAGTATGTTCAGTGAATGTTACAAAGCAAAAGCCTGATGAAACAGTCCATACCTATGACAAGAGAAGTCTAAAATTTCAGGCATTAATGAGAAATATGAGAGGAAAAGCAGCATTGAGAAAATATGTAGTTCACAATAACATAGAACATTAGCACAAGATTCTTAAAAGTTGATAACCATAACCATGAAAATACAAAGCCGAGGTAAGATCTAAACCCTCAAAACATCTCTCAAACATTCATTTACCTTCACTTTATTATCATTGGCGCCAGTCGCCAAGAGCTGTGAATCTGGCGAATAGGCAAGAGTATTCACATCAAAGTAGTGTCCCTGTTGCTTCAATATATAACTCTCTGACCGCCACTCCCACACCAGCAACTGCCCCAACTTTGCACAGCCAAATGTCAACCAATTTCCAAGGTCATTGAACACAGCCGTAGTAAGCTTCTCTCTTGATATGGACAGCAAATGCATGCACACGAAATCCGGCATTTGATATAATCCAAAAACCCCATTCGAGAATCCCACCACAACAAGATCAAGTCCCCTATGATAATCACAGGTGGTCAATTTTGCAGGAGCCTGCATAAAACAATCTTTCCTTAACAATTCCCATTTGCCTCCACTCAAATACCCTTCACCAAAACAACTTTCTTTACCATCAAAATCCTTCCTTTTCTTCACACTGCCTTCCCCACCTTCTCCATCCCTATCCGGCGTTCCCGGAGACTTTGGCTCCTCATCTTCCAGACCATCATCTCCAATATCATGATTACCACCATTGCCACTATAACCCCAACTGAAAATAAAACCATCACGAGCAATAGTATATGCTTTATCAACCTTGTTACTCTTTTTCTCAACACCAAAGAAACAACCAACAACGGATTCTCTATGACCGAGAAATAAAAAAGGTTTTTTATAGCTACCCTTTATCTTATCCACAAAAAACAACCTCCCAGTCAAATCTTTGGACCCAACAATCAAATATTTTGATTTATTATCCCAATCAATTGTCAATATCTTATCGTTACAATCAGCAAAAGTTCGAACCAATTCAAACCCAAAAACTTCCCTCCTATACCCAGGAGATTTCCATATTTGCAACAATTTACCTGCCGCAACAGCAATATATTTCCCATTGGGGCTAAACTTGACGGCATTTACGGTATGCTTGAACGTTATGCGGTGCAACACCACTCTCCGAGGGAGGTTGATGAAGAGACAACGATTGTTGTCGTCAACGGTGAGGAGAAAAACGCCGTCGGGTGAAGCGGCGATGCGGCGGATGTTGCTGGAGGCTTGGACGGGTAGGGTTATGGTTTGGGATTTGACAAGGTCGGTGACGGAGATGCGGTTACCCACGGGGGAGATTAGGTTGGTGTTTTGTGTTACGACGGCATTACCGCCGCGGTAAGGGGCACCTAGGAGGTTTTGGAATCGGTAATTCATTTGGTAGTGAGGTGCGTTTGGCGCTGGGAAAATTTCTGTGCCGCTGAGAATAAGGGTTTTAAGTAGGGTTTAAACTTTTAAGAGATGCAGGCACAAAGAGAAACCCTTCTTGGGCTTTCTGACCTAGCCCATACATTTTACAATTCCCCAATAACTATTCACATCAAGATTAAAAAAATTAAAAAGCTAAAAATTAAAGTTTTATTAAAATAAATGTAATTAAAATATATAATAATAAAATAAATATCTCAATAATTTATTTTATAAATTTGTTAAATATAAATTGAATTCTGAAGAGGTGATGCGACTTTATCTTAGATTCTTATTTAATTTTGGATTATTAAAAATCCATCATCGACGATGAATAAACTTATATTTTTTTATATTATATTATAAGCTTTACATGTTTCATAGATTATAAATAAATGCAAATTGATATGTATCTCAATTTCACAACTTAAATTTTCTCTGATTCTTTGAATAGTTGATTTAGACACTCTTAATTCAATATGTCAAGTAATATAACGATGATTAAAAATACATAAACATGTGCAATGAGCACGTATCTCTGTATGTCTGAGATGCAAGAAACCATGTTAACAAGTCATACCTCTGGGCAGCAGACACCAGAAACAATCACCGCGACTTGATAAGGTAGTTTTAGCGGCAAAATAGGATTTACACAAGTCCGGTTCTCCAGCTTCAGAACTTCCAACCAAGTAATCAGTTTAAGCAAACTACAGTACATAAATCCACGTAAAACTTAAGTTGAAGGGCAAAGACAGTTTTAAGATTAAAATACAATCAAATTTTAAAATAGGGTTTCCATACATTTGAGCTAATTTGACAAAAAAATTACAATTTTAAGTTAGTGTAGATAGAAAATGTACTTATTTTTCGTAGCATTCTAATTCCATTTGAGTACCGGTGATCGAATAAGGGCAGCCTGACCAATATGACCTGAGCTGCCTGCCTTTAGCAACCTTTGCGAGTATCCCAGTAGCAGTGAAGTCCGCTAGGTCCAAGTACCAGTAATTTGATCCGGACGATGCAACCTTAATGGTTATCTTCCCTAGGCTAAGTCATGAACTTCTCGGTCTTACTGACAACACCCTTTATTTATAAAAGAGCAGAAAGCAGAAGGAAAAATTTTACATTTTTACGTAGGTCAAAATTCGAGCCAAATTAAGTAAAGATCTCCACGATGAACAACACCTAAATCAGAAACTGATACCAGAATGTAATTGCCTTCTGAAAAATAAATAAATTAAAACTAAAGGAGGTTCGCGATTTGTTTAACCACTTCTACTCTCCCACTCCCAATGGGTTCGCAATTTGTTTAACCACTTCTACTCTCCCCCTCCCAATGGCATAACTTTATCACTACATTGCATTTTTTTTAAAAAGCCCTGACATTACATCTCCGGTACTTGCTAAGGAAACCCATGAAATATTTGCTCAACATATAGTATGTGCAAACGGAGCCATGTTCAAAACACAGCATGCAGTTTTCATTTTTGACCACCAGCTTGGACAGGCTCAACCACTTCAGCTTCCAATGTCTCTGCTTGGGGAGTATGTGATGCTGAGTGCTGGACGTCAAATGCCGACCATTTACCCGAAATAGCCATTCCCATCATCTCATATATCTTACCACTTAGCTGCGCTGGATTGTCAGGCTGCATAAATGACATCAAGATGATTGCAACATCACAATGCAATATGAGTATCAACACATTCACAATTAAGTGTGACATGTTTCTGATGATCAACTTACTAAATTGACACGATGTAATATTATCGTCCGAAAATAATGAGGAAAACTTACAGTGTAACCGCTAGAAACAAGTGCTGCATCATACAAAAGATCTATAGCTCTCAAGGCATCTTCATCATCTGGGTTACTCCTGAATGCAGCCTGCAGAGAGAGTATAACAAGTTTCATAAAATGATAATGAAAGGGGTAGAGGTTAAGTTTAATGTTCGTCAACGTACATTCAGTTCTCTAATGATTGGATGCTCAGGGTTGATCTCAAACACCCTTCTCCCCTTCATGAACTCTAAAGTAGAGGTGTCACCAACAGTCTGTGCCTTCATGAGTCTGTGAAAGAATTATATTCATGTTAACCAATGCTAACTTATAGAAAAAAGTAGAGGAACAAGAGGATATTCACCTCTCCATGTTGGCAGACCAGCCAAACTTCCCTGATACCAAAACACAGGGTGATGAACTCAGACGGTTTGAGATATTAACATTGGCAACTTTTTCACCCAAACGTTTCTTGATCCAATCACAAGTTTTGCTAAATTCCTCTTTGGTTACTTTCTCTTTTTCCTCATTCTTATCGCCTACAGATTGAGACGAACAAAAATATTAAATATATGGGTAAACCATGACTTGCACTAACCTAATTATCCTTCTAACTGCCAAGGAACTGACCAAATTAAGCCAGTAAAAGCAAGAATAAAAGGCTTTAGTTAGCCAATTATTATAAATGTAAACTTCATGAGACTAAGAACCCACAGACTAACCTATGTCCATATCTTCTTTGCTAATATCTACAAAATTCTTCTCCTTGTAAGATTTCAGACTTTGAATGGCAACTTCATCAATGGGGTCTACCAAGTAGAGCACCTAGAAGATGGCACCAAAAAAATATCATTGAGAATGAAGCCTCATGATCAATTTAGTCAGTATAGATTTCAATATTCAATGAAGAAAGATATACTTCAAGATCCTTCTCAAGAAGTCTCTCCAGGAAAGGTGCATTTCGAGCACTGCTAATGCTGTCGGCAGCAATGTAATAGATATCCTTCTGCTCAGGCTTCATATTCTCGACATATTCATCCAAACTTATCATCTCATCCTCACTTTGGGAAGAGAAGAATCTGAGCAACGGTGCAAGACGCTTGTGATTTTCACGATCTTCTATGCATCCCAGTTTCAAATGTTTTCCAAAATTCTCCCAGAATGTCTCATAGTCCTACAATGCAAGCAGATTTTAGCACGCTAAAGCAAAATAGCATAACATGCTGATAAATTCTCATTAGCTCACAAAAAAATTTTTTTTTGATAGGAAAGAAAGGCCTCGTTAGCTCACAAAAATAAAAAATGTAAACTTGGTATTAGCAAGGCATTATTTCAGTCCTACGGTAAATATAATTCCAACGTTGCAAAAGAGATGGAGAGAGAAAAGGAGGCAGAAGATGAGAAGAAAAGGGAAAATATGATACATACTCCTTTATTTTCACTCATTGATATTCCCAGAATCATATCGAAGGTTTTTCGAACCAAACGTTTCTTCATTATTCGGACCTTCAATAGAAACACAAAGTTACAGTCAGAAGAATCTTAACTAAGAAAAATAAGTAACTATTTCAGTATCTAACAAGAATTATAGGGAAAATAGTACATACAATGCGACTTTCTTGAAGAATCTCACGTGATACATTAAGCGGGAGGTCATTTGAGTCCACAACACCCTTGACAAAGCTTAAATATCGAGGGAACTATTTAACCAAAACAATACAAGGTTTGCACATGTCGGATTACATTTGAATCAATCATATTACTCAAATGTATAAAGGAATGACATGTTATTACCAATTCACCATCAAAATCATCCGAAATGAAGACTCTTTTAACATAAAGTCTAATATTCTTTGTCTTGGAATTGGTTATATCATCCTTTCCCATTGGAGAAATGGCTGGGACATAAAGTACAGAACGAAACTCCACCTCACCCTGCAAAGCCAATGTTTAACTTGAGGAGTGATGTAAGGCCCGTGTTAATTGAATCCAAAGAAAGTGCAGAGTGTTCCCGAAGTTGATTTAAATAACTTCCCAGTTCCCACTAAACAATGTCATTACCTCAGTTGTAAAGTGTGATGATGCTAATGGATCTGAGTATTCATTAAAAGTTTTCTTGTAGAACTCATTGTATTCCTCTGTCATCACCTCTTTAGGATTACGAAGCTGTAAAGATAAAGATAGTAATAGCATCACATATAGAACTTTAGAAATACACAATTGAAACTAGAGCAATTCTAAACCAAAACTTAACAACTCACCCAAATAGGTTGAGTTTCATTCGTAAGCTCCCAATCCCAGTACCTCTCCACAACTTTTTTTGTTTTCTTCTTTTTCTGTTACATCAAATTCGAAAAACAATCAATCACATGCATGTTGCAAATGAGCCTATAGATGATGACAAAACTACATAAAGGTAACCACCTCAACGTTTCCATCTTGACCAGTCTCTTTGGATTCAACTGGGTCCTCATCAACTTCGACCTGTGATGAGCAAAGCGTAACAGGTTAGTTATCCCATAAACAAGTCGATACCTTTTGTCAAGAAAAAAGGCAAATGTTGATATCATGTTGAAAGACCTCTTTAGTGATTCCCTTCTCCTGCCATGTGTAAATTGGGAAAGAAACAAACTGTGAATAGTTCTTCACAAGCTTTTGAATCCGTTCTGGATGGGCAAATCCTTTGTCATCATGCTGAAAGCACACAGACAACAATGACAAGAGATAAATTCAAGTTACTATAACAAATATAGGTACTAAAATATTCTTTGTTATTTAAGAAACCTTAAGATACAGAGTAAGGCGTGTTCCTCGAGGAATAAGATTCTCTGGATTTGTCTCCTCCTGAATAGTATAGGAGCTTGCATTTGCCTCTCCTTCCCATACATATTGTTTATCAGATTTCGGACTCTTTGTTGAGACAACTACCTAGAATTACAATAAACTACATGAGCAACTGCTACTACAGGAATTTCTTAATTCATGAGAACTAAAATGACAAGTAATTAATACCTTGTCAGAAACCAAAAATGTTGAATAGAAACCAACACCAAACTGACCGATCAAGTTGTTGTCTGTACCAGCATCTTTGCTTTCCTGCAGAATTGTAAATTTTGTTAAAGCACATATCATGTAACCCTAGAATCAGAAAATGATTGTTAGCATAATTATTAGACCTTCACAGCCTTCAAGAACTTAGCAGTTCCACTCTGTGCAATTGTTCCAAGACAATCAACAAGTTCTTGTCTTGTCATACCAATGCCTGAGTCACTGTAGAAAACAAAGTGAGAAAATGTGTCTTGCTAAAAACAATTCCGCAACCAAAGCACCTTACAGCTCATATACTTACGTAATTGTTATTATCCCATTGTCTTGATCAGTTTGGATACGAATGTCAAGATCAACAGCTTCCTTTAAAAGCTGAGAATCGGTAACACTTAGATACCGTAACTTGTCCAAGGCATCGCTTGCATTACTGCAGAAACCAAAAAGAAAAAAAAAAGAAAGAAAAAAAAATTAAGGATCCAAAACATCACATAATGGAATTAGGCAGGCTCTTACAAAATTTAGCTTAAAGATCAATTATTGTAAAGACTACTCTGTATTATCCAAGCATTACTGGCATCTCTTCAAATCAATTTAAAAAAAATTGACTCTACCATACATAGTTATCTTGGATTTCATCCAGCAGGGAAGCAGGTAACAATATATGCTAAGAGTATGAACTGATTGGCCTATCTAAAATGTAAGAAGTTAAAATTTCAGTTTGTTCCTCATGTTCGAAAAACCATAAGTCAAATAATTTTGAAAAGCTTATTGTCACTGTGAAATCATCATATTTTAATAATCCAAGGATGAGCGGATGAATTCTCAAAACATGCCTGATAAGCTCCCGAAGAAACACCTCTTTGTTGCTGTACAAGCTGTTGACAATAAGATCCATGAGACGACTAACCTGCCAACGTGTATGGAACAGTAACATCATAAATAAAACTCATCAAAACTCTAAATAAGAAATTTATTCAAGTCAGGGCCATAACATACCTCAGCTTGATACTCATATTTCTCAGGTGGAGGTGGATTTCCTGAATCAGATGCAGTTGCGGTTGACTCATATCGGCTTCCCAAAATCAAATCATTTTTCAAGTTCAATTGAGCTGAATATCTGGCCCTGTTACATTTCCCTCCTGTTATTGTCGAGTACCACCTAATGTTATTATCACCACCCTCTGCCTACTCACGAGTCACGATCCAATAAAATACTAATTAGATAAAACTATTAGAATAACAAATTATATTATAATAAATAAATAAAAATAACAAGTTACGTAACCATTATCGAGAAAGAAAAATCGGATACATGTAAAGAAAAATGCTTTAAAAGCTCAAATTTTGCATTGATTCCCACTAATCCTCACTCACGGAACAAAACAATAAAGATAAAATACTTTTCCTTTAGTAGCAATCAAACGGAACGAAGATTTTTAGACAAGTGAGAAATGAGAGGAAGAGAGTACCGAGACAGGGATGGGAATGGAGAAGGCGATTGGAGCAGCTACGGCGACCCGGTAACGAGTAGCAGGGGCGCGGAGGGCGGTGGAGACCGAGCGCCGGGAGAGGCGATGCATCATTAAGGATTAGGTGATAGACGCGAGCGAGTTTCAGGAAAGTTTAGAATTGGTGCGATGAGGATTAAGGCTCAGCTAAATGAAAATTATAGCGCGAGGGTTTTAGTAGGGTTTTTTCCCTTTCGGAAGCTTCTGGAGATAGCTTAAAACAGTTAGGGGGTGTTTGGATAGGGGAATATGAGCATTTGATTAGTTCGAAAATCTCATTCTCAGTAATGTAAGATTATCAATAGTGAATTTTTTAGATATATTACTGGGAATGTCGTTACCTCCCTTTCCTTAGGTATTATTGGATTACCAGTGTTTTGGACTAAAATGTCTTTAATTTTTTTTTTTCAAAAATATCATTTTTCTGTCATTGAATAATAAAATTTATACGAATGTTAAATTACAAATTTATCTTTAAATTATTTTAGATTTACAAAAAAAAATCTATAATTAAAATTTTATATAAAGTTCAGGGATTAAAATAAAATTTTACCCTTTCATTAATTTTTTTTATATTTTTAATTTTGTAAAAAAATTATATAAATATTATGAATTTAAATTTTTAAAGAAAAAATATAAATATTTTCAAACATGTAATATTAAACAAATATATAATATGGACAATTTGATTAAATATACATTCTAATAATCTTTTATTCCTTTAACCAAACACGGTAATCTTACATTCCTGCTAAGCCAACCAAACACAAAATACAACATTCTCAGTAATCCTATTCCCTGGTAATCTTACATTCTCAGTGGTAATCTTATATTTCGTGAACCAAACGCATTCTTAGAGACTGATGGCGGAAATTGGGTTCGTTAGGGTCTACGTTGTGTGCTGTTTACAAAATTAACTCAAATAATAATAATAAAAAAAAAAGATGATTAGAATGGGCTTAGGCCCATTCATAATTTTTTTTTCTTTCTACAAAGCCTTGACCTTTTGATTAAATGATACGAAGCAAGCAGCTAAAAAACTATTGGTAGGATCGCAACCCAATCGGCGTGATTTAGTAATAGTGACGGTAGCAATGATACAAAAAATGGAGATGAATGCGAATGCTTGTTTCCAAATCTAAAAGTCTTAGCGACGAAAACAACAACTCTGAACTTCATACCACAAAAGTAGGTATGAATCATGCCATGAAGGAGTGATAAAGTTTCCATCGCAGCAAAAACAATGAGAAAGACACACTCACACAGAGTCAAACAAGAAAAAAGAACGCAACATCGGAAGATCGGCTGCATCAACCAACCTTACAAGCAACAAAAGAACACTCAACTATGTGAAGCGACAACCAAACCCTGTGTTTCTGTTTCAATTATAATATATATTATTAATAATCGAATACAACAGTTTAGAAATAAAAATTTGGTTTTTGACAGGTTAATAGATTGAAAACAAATTGAGGGTTGTAGCTACCGGTTTATTTAACATAGATTTGCGACCACTCATGCTCAAGATAGTTGGTTTTCTATCTCATAGGACACAACAACGAGATGATCAGCTAGCACAATTCACATGTGGATTGGTGTATATAAATATTTCTTATGCTTGTTATCCTATCAACGTGAGATGCGAGTTTTTTTCTAATTTCCTTACACAATTCACACATAATCTACTTTGAGCATTGGTTTCTTATTCATCGTTCAGCCGTTTTGAGCATATCAGATACCGTTATAAAGATCTCATGAAGTAAAATATAAATCAATAAATTCATTATTCAAATCTGCATCTTTACCTATTGAAAATATAGCTCAAAGTTTCCAATTTAGCACAATTTTTCCAACAGTTTCAAGCCACTACACCACAAGCAAGCTCCACATTATACTACAAACAAACGTCTTTCTTATGAAAAAAGAAAACCTCCTTCATCAATTAGACAGATTTCTTGAACCTGAAACTCCCTGCTTGTAAATGTTTGCAGAATCCTGAGAATCAGATGGAAAACACCTTTATTTTTGTAATGAAGCAGCCTGTTATAGGGATACATGGATTGAGAATTTGACATCTTCCATTATAACTTTTAAGTGGCAATATTTGAGATTCTTGCTGCTTCTGGATTGAACATCGGTTAATTCTTAATGATGAAGATAAGTTTTGGACACTTAAATATGATAAAGAACAAACTGAAGATGTACCCGGAATCGTATATTATCAGTAAATATATAGCTATATTACCCTTCCAGTCTTACAGAGCAAAAAAACAAGAGGAAAGTGAGAGTAGGTAGATTAACATAGAGATTATGAGACATACTAAAAATTTCATCTACAAATGAAGAGAGGTATCAACATCAGAGTTCTCATAATATGTTGAGGTGCTTGAAGTTGCTGCAGTGTTACGCCATAAGCTCGTTGATGCTGGGATTCCCATGGCTCTGAAATCGGTTTGCCTGCTCAGTGAGTTAAGTCCAAGAGCGAGTGAATCCTGCTGGGGTTGCCTAGAAGGTAAAGCCACCTCGGGTTCGAAGGTCGATAACAATCCATTAGGCTCACAGCGTTTGATCGACTTGGCGCGGTCAGGCTCAGAGAATAGCTTCAGAAGCTCTTTCTCTTCTCTCTTTTCTCTAACCTTCTGCAGCTGCCTAAACCTTTCTTGCAAAAGTGCAATCGAGGAACTAACCATAGTAGGATCACCACCTTGCCTACTCATTACAGGAAAAACCTCTATCCCTTGTGGGAGCACAATTGCTTACTCGATTGGTTTGTGAAAATTGTTGGTGCTTGAAGGAGATTATAGATGTATTTATAGGCAACAGCTGATCACGATACTATACATTATGCCTGTAAAGTAAAATGGGGTTTACAATAGCATAATGTATAGTATTTTGTTGTCATACGAAATGATTGCGGGTGATGTAATGTAAAGGAGAATCGGCTGCTGTGAAGCAAAATCCAAGTAGAAGAGTGTGGGGGCTAGTGTAGGTAGGCAAAAGCCAGTTTGTTTAATTCAGTCCAAATGCGATTTGGGAGTAGTATTTGGAAGCAAGCATTGATGGGGAATATATGATTAGGTAATCAAGTGTTAGCTTGTCTTTAAAAATGCAAGTTAGCTTCCGAAAGATGGTGCTTGGTTGGTGCGTTCACTGGCACTTTTCGAATGCATCTGTCCATTATTTTTTTTCTATTTGATTTCAACTCTCACATTTATTTTATTTCATTGTTTTCGACCGGAAAAAACAGAGGATCCGAAGGAATAATTTTCAAAGTTTCTGGTTCCACTGAATTGTTCTCTAAAATATTTGGGCGCAGAATTTCTGCAGGAGAACATTAGCAGCTTTCATCATTTTAAGTCCACCAAAAACAAAGGTATTAGATCCTCATGTATGGTGTACATCATCACTTTCGAGGGTTTACAGAAATGACAGGAAATTAACCAGCCGCATTTATATATACACACGCACATATATGCCATTGTTGTTTATCTTATGTGCTGCAGAAAACCCATATTGTAAGGATATTATGAAAATTCTTTTTCAGGAACAGAAGATCAGGCATTAATGATGCAAAAGCTGCAAAGATAAGCAGTGAAATTACATCAGTACTCAAGTTTTGCTACAACAGATAGCACATACATAGTGAATAGTGATTAATATTACAGCTTTCAAAGGCACATCTACGAATCTATCTAAGTTGTTCATTTTCCGGGGACAAAGTTAGTTGCATAAGCCCATGCATTGTTGGTCACTGGATCAGCAACGTGGTCGGAAAGGTTCTCAATGGGACCCTTTCCGGTGACGATAGCCTGGACGAAGAATCCAAACATGGAGAACATTGCCAGGCGGCCATTCTTGATCTCCTTAACCTTCAATTCCGCGAAGGCATCAGGGTCATCCGCCAATCCAAGTGGGTCAAAAGCACCACCCGGGTAAATCGGATCAAGTCCTTCACCGAGTGGTCCACCACCAACTCTGTATCCTTCAACAAATCCCATGAGCACAACTTGGCAAGCCCAGATTGCAAGGATGCTCTGAGCATGGATGAGGTTCGGGTTGCCGAGGTAGTCGAGGCCACCCTCGGAGAAGATTTGGGAACCAGCCTTGAACCAGACAGCCTCTCCAAACTTGACACCATTCTTCGAAAGAATTTCGGGGAAAACACAGCCAAGGGCACCGAGCATAGCCCACCTGCAGTGGATCACCTCAAGCTCACGGTTCTTAGCAAATGTCTCCGGGTCAGCCGATAATCCAGCAGTGTCCCACCCGTAGTCACCGGGGAATTCACCGGTCAGGTATGATGGGATTTGGTCAGAGAATGGACCCAAGTACTTTGGGCGGTCAGGGCCGTACCTGTTTTCAAGTAATCACGAACATAAATAAATCCACTCTAATGTTTTTTGCTCATAAGTGGGATATTGCGATGTAACATAACATACCAGATGCTGGTGGGGGCACTTTTGACAGTTCTGCGCATGGAAACGCGGCCGCCACCGACGGCACCGACCTTTCGGAATAGCTCATTGGTCGGCTTCAAAGCTGTTTGGCCAGCGAAAGCGGATTGTTGAATACCAAAGGTTGCCATTACCTTAGACTTTGGTTTGTTTTTATTGTGGTGGTAAATGTAATACGGAGTTTGAGATGACAAGGGAGGTTGGATTATAATGGTGAATTGAAGATGAGAAGATTGATGCGGATTAGGAAATGTACAGGTCAGCAACAATCTATTGGCTGTTGCATTAGATGTGGATTCCCATTTTGATTTCCTTCCAACAGATGCCGAGGCTGCTGTTTTGCCACGTGGGATTTACAAGATCTTGTCGAGAGATGTTTTTCGCCGTAATAACGTTGGGCTGGAATCTCTTGATCCATTGCTTTTAGAGAAAGATAATCTACGCACGAGATTATTGTACGCGTAAAATAAAATATATAAAAATTTTGGAAGGCATGTTTGGTTTATGCATTTAATAAGAACCCAAAAAAGGGGAAAAACATGCTGATACATGTACCACTAATGTAACAGACAATCCCAAAGTGTAATCAGTATTAGCACTAATATTCTGTCATACCATTGGGGAAAACACCCCCTCTTCTAATTTAACATCATCGCCTTGTACACATCCTAGCATGATCGCAGTCAGCATTAG